GTTATCGAAGTTGGTCCTGCGTTAACCAGCTCAATTCAGCATCGAGGATTTCCTTCGATCTCGGCCATCATCGCGAAAGATCGTCGATCGACGAGATATTCGCGGATGCATGATCATTCATCTATCTATCTCCTCTCCTTTTTCGTTTCTTTCTCTCGATTCGAATAAAAAAAGGGTCCTAAAATAATATATCTGCTCTGCGAGGATACTGGCTCATAATACACTGCGTGCCACAATCTCTATCCACGTCGTTTATTACGTTATCGAATCCTGCTCAATTAATCTCAGCTCAATTCAGCATCGAGGATTTCCTTCGATCTCGGCCATCATCGCGGAAGATCGTCGATCGACGAGATATTCGCACGATCATTCATCTATCTATCTCCTCTCCTTCTTCGTTTCTTTTTCTCGATAAATAAAAAAAGGGTTCTAAAGTAATATATCTGCTCTACGAAGATACACTGGCTCATAATACGCTGCTACAATCTCTATTCGCGCCGTTTATTAGGTTATCGAAGTTGGTCCTATNGTTAACCAGCTCAATTCAGCATCGAGGATTTCCTTCGATCTCGACCATCGCGTCGAGTCGAGACGTGGAAGATCTTCGATCGATGAGATCGTTCATCTATCTCCTCTCCTTCTTTTTCTCGATAAATAAAAAAAGGTTCTAAAGTAATATATCTGCTCTACGAAGATACACCTCATAATACGCTGCGTGCCGCAATCTCTGTCCACGTTGTTTATTAGGTTATCGAATCCTGCTCAATTAATCGGCTATCTCCTTTCCTTTTTCGTTTCTTCTCGATGAATTCGAGAAAGAAAAAGCGAGAGTGTTAAAACATTCGTGCGTCGATCGGAGGAAGAAAAGATGGGGCGGGGGTGAGCGCCATCCGGACGATAAACGACGATAAACCCGTAATTTTTTCCCCCTCGTGTGGCGCGACACAACGCGCCCGCATGATTACCGCACGTCGACTGGGTCGGTAACACCCAGAGATTCGTCGTGGACCGAAGTGTAATTCGTTGAAAGAGCCTATTGTGAATAAATTGAGGCGGAGCAAGGATTGGGTAGCGGTCAGAGCCCGAGCTTCTCTCGCGGTGTTCTCTCGCCATCGCGTGGTCCGTTTTGTACGGATGAAATTCCCACCGCGGCCCCTCCCTCCTTCCCTCCGGCACCCCGTCAATTTATTAATCCAACCGACGACCGCGTTCGACGACCGACGCCCCGGTATACAAAAGGGAACCGCGGAGAGGTGTTCTTCCCCAACCAATTATTCTTCTCATTGTTATTGTTATTGTCGCACGGAAATTACGAACTTTCCATTTTCAGGAATCGCGTCCGACAATCGGACGATTAACCGGCTAGATATGATTCCACGCATCCCCTCTACAACTTTATTCTGCTGGATCTTTTTCCTGCTGGATCGTACAAATCGGTTATTGTTTTTCGCACACCGTTTCGAAAATATGAAAAGTTTGGATGGAGATTATAATCGGCGTTGAATGCGAATATTATTAATCGAGCGATTGAATTCGAAACATTCGCCGGAGGGAACGTTTATCGCGAGAAGGAGAAGGCAAGGTCCGCGTGAGCGGCAATATACTCCATAACTGGAATCGTTGCGCCGCGCCAATTTACGGTCAACGTCCCGGCCAGTGTACACCAGCACCGCGATAAGGTTAATCGGCGATTTTTCAAATCCGTAACGGGAGGCGAATCGGGGGAGGAGGGCTTTATAAAGTCTGATGAGAGAAGAATGAAGAACGTGCGCGGCGAGGCGCGGAGAGGAAATGCACGCGTCCCTCCTTCCCCCCTCCGCGCGATCGACTTGGAGAGCTCGGTCAACCCTTCGGCCGGAAGTCGCGCACGCCGGAAGCCGACTAGGTTTAGGCGAACGATTTCGTGGTGGGACCTATCGCGGCCATCTACGAACGGGGCTCGCCCCTTCCCGCGCCACGAGTGTATAAACGAGAGCGAGAGAGAGAGAGAGAGAGAGGTATTCGCGCCACGAGTTTCCTCTGTTCGCGTTCAACCCGAACGTGTTCAACCGACTCCGATCGTTGTCTCGTTCTCGTCGAGAAAATATTCCCGATACCTTTTCCCGTTATCCGTTTCCGGAATCGGGAATCCCGAGATTCGTATTCGGGACGCAGGGAGCTCGTTGGAATAGATCGGATCTAAGAAGGGAAAAGGAAGGAAAGGGATTTTAGATTTTAAAATCTAAGGTTGAAAGCGAGACTTGGATCGACGGTGATTCGAGGAGCGATGCAACTGCAAACAAATTGCCTAGTGCGAAGGCAGTTATGACGCAACCAACGGGATTGGAATTTCATTCATTCATCCTGGATCATTTCTCCGCCCGAAGCCCACTATTAAAGAAAGCTTAACGCGATCGTTTAATAATCACAGGAGCCCTGTAAATAGAATTAACGACGTTGGAACGATAAGTGACGTCGTGGCTGGATCTGATTCGATTAGGAAGAATATATTTCGTGGACGAACTCGTGGTAGAGGAACGGTGTCGTTGAACCGGGGAATATCGTATACGGCCCCTCTCTCTCTCTCTGTCTCTCTCTCTCCCCTTCTCTTTCCCCCCGTTTCCCGAACGCGATGAATACAAAGGGAAAAAAGATCGATCGACGATTCGTTTCTTTATTCGTCCACGATTAAAGACAACACCCGGTATACATTGCAATGCGTGTCACGCCTACGCGTGTCGCGTCAGGCGTTTGTCGGATCGACAGAAATTACTTTCAATGATACGAAACGTAGTCGGCTTGATAGCCGGTTCACAGAGCCCGTTACGATGGCAAAAAAAAAAAAAAAAGATAACGACGCGATATATTAAATTAAATCTAATAATAACAATAATAATAATAAACGAAAGGATTTTGAAAAATAAGAAGATTTTGAGAAATTTTTCGCGTCGTTTAATAGGAATCAACGGATATTCTAGAAATTGTTAACGAAGCGTGTTAAATATTTTTGCCAAGCCAAACGTTACGTAAAACTGGTTATCCTTGCGTTTTCCACGCAGTTCTCAGATCGACGCGAAGATAGGGTATAAACAGGGGCCCAGTTCGAAGTCGAGAAGCGTAACGTTGCATCGATACTTAACCCGACCTATCGACTTTAGAAATCTAGACCGTCGTTAATTCCGGGACGGGTTATTACCGTCCTACGAGCGATCTTTCTTTTTTTTTTTTTCGAGTTCATCTACGATTCATTTCTCGAATAAAATCCTGGAAAATTCTTAGGAAATCGAGTCGATATCGCGTATCGTAATCACCCTTGAACGTTCAACGTAATCGAATTCCATTTGCACGAGCGAAATTTTTCACGAGCCATTCATCATCGATCGGTCGATCGATCGATCGATCGATCTTCGAGAGTCGAATGTTTTGATCACCGGTGGAAAACACGGCGTATCGAAACGCGTCCCTTCCAACAACAATAGCAATTCGTTATCCGGTCAGCAGCCGGTGCATCGAGTTCCAACTCGATTGCCAAGTTTCTCGCGGAAGTTTCTCGATTGAAGGCGAGAGGGAACCGGTTGGTTGGCGGAAAGGTGCGCCGCGATACGACGCACGGTTAATACGATCGGCCGGTGGATCGGTTGGATCGCGTCCAACCGAGACGGGAACGACCGAGTGGAAATAATAAGGCAAAAGTGCGCTCGTAACGAATTAATTCCCACCGCCACGTTCACACGGGTCCAACGATTTGTCACGCTGGGATTCGAACGGAATCTCTCTCCGTGGCGAAAACTTTCACCGTCCAGAGTCGAGAATTGAGGCGAACGTTTCACCTCCGAACGATTTTCTTCGATAATTCTCCTCGAAAAGATCCACCACCGTGTAAACAAACTCGAACTTTGAAATCGCTCGTTCGAAGAGAAATTCGTTAATTTCGTAAACGATCGTTGGTAATTTTCGAAGAATAACCTTTGTTCCCTCGATGGAAGAAGCGATACGAAGAAGAAGAAGAAGAAGAAGAAGAAGAAACGGGTGCGCGCTATTTGGCTAGAGCGTGGCACCGCTAAGAGCCTCCATTTTTAGATCGCGCAAGAAAGATCGTAACGGGAGATGCTAAGTTATAAGACGCGAGCGAAGAGAGCGCGAGGTTGGGAAGGCGAGGAGGAGAGAGTTAGTCATCGGGCGCGCATTTGCGTCGCACGTTTCCAGCGTTCGTTATCATGGCGGTCGTGAATTGAAACGGCAAACGTTGCGCGCACCGTTTCGCGTACACTATGAAATCGCGAGGGTTATCGGAAGGGGTAAAAGAGAAAATGGGGTAGTTGCGTGGTTTGTTGGTGATTCACCTGGTCGTTGGAGAAGATGCATTTGACGTTAATCCAACGGTGTGCCTTGACGGTGCAGTTGCAGCCGTCCATCGCGCATATCCCGGGCGGTGCACTCTCCACCTTGCCAACCAGAAATACTAAACAGCACAGAGACACCGACCATACCATCGCACGATCACGCTTCGGCCCGCTCGGCCGCACTCTCCTCCCTCCGCCCATCGTTATCGGCGATCCACCACCCTCGATCTTCCACCGGCGAACAAAAGGCCGCCTTGTTCCACCCGGATCGATCGCCTTCGATTCTTCCACCCGGAGATCTTTCCTCACATCGTTCACGGCACACCGTTATGCTCGTGCCCCACTTTCATCTGGATCTCGATCTTCCTCGATCGATCCCTGTTCCTCTTCCCTCTCACATTTGTCTCGAAATTCGAATATCCAACGTATTTCTCGATTCGAACAAAGGCCGCGAATCCTTCGATCCGATTACTCTTCCAAATCGTCGTCGCGAATTTTTCCTCAGCGAAAACCAGGCACCGGGCTGGTTTTTTCGAACGGCATGCTCGGCTGGACGAGAGAAACGGGCGCGAGAAAGATGAGAAAACGTGGGACGGAAAACTGGTCGAGTCGATGTGTCCACCGCGAGATATATAGCGTAGAAAGACGCGCGCGGACGGCTCGGCTTTCCGAAGAGGTGGGGCAACTAGAGGCAGGCTGACGCGATCATGACGAAGGTTGCTTTCAAACTGTGGTCGGTGGCATGCACGATCAGTGTCTCCTCCCCACCAACAACCGTGTTCCTTACTTTGCCTCGCTCTCGCGTTTATTCTCCCTCTTCGACCTTTTAAAAGATAAAAGCGCGTGGTGGCAGGGCGCGTGAGGGACGAGCCGACATTCGACCGCACTCGTTCGACCAGATTCTGTCCTCTTCACGGAGCCAACGGAGGAGCAAATCCTCTCGAGACGCACCGGTTTTCGCGCGGGTCGTAAGGGTCGGCGCGCTCGGTCGGTGCCTTCCAAGGGCTGACCTTGACCGAGTTTTACGCCGCTCTTCGTCCATCGCGGATCACGAATCCTCGTCACCTCGTCGCCGTGTTTACGTAACAACGCGTTTGTGTTGTGCGCTTTTTTCGAGCCAGGGTTACGCTTGGGAGAGAGAGAGAGAAAGAGAGAGAGAGAGAAAGAGAGAGAGAGAGAGAGAGAGAGAGAGAGAGAGCGATCGTACGTACCTGTTCACGAACCATCGATATTCTTCGTCCGTATCCTCTGTGGTTTCTCCCCGCGTTATTGTGATCGATTTGACTCGGAAGGACAAATCGATCGCTCTTTGTTATCTTCGTCGTCTACGTGAATCGTATCGTGCCGGTAATTGGTGAATTTGTTACAAATCGCGTAACGATCGATCGATATTTCCGATAAGAAATTAGAATTTAGTTTAGAAAAATGAGATTCTTTTCATATTTGATAAAAAGAGAAAAAGCATCGTTAATAATTATAAATGATCGTTCCAAAATACGATGCTACGTTATTCCTTTCCTGACGAAACGTCGGAATAATTTTTCTATTCGGTACGCGCTTGAAAGTTGGAAAATTTCGAGCGACTTTCCTTCCTATGAAATTTTCGAGACATTCCGCCATTCGTTCCACCAGTCCTTTAATTTAAACTTGGCAAATTTTATAACATCCTCGCAAAAAATCCGGGGGGAGGGGGGAAAAGATAGAAAAGTGCGCAACGTAAGCCGTGAAAGAGCGAAACGCGCGTATTTTACGAGTTGTTTGCAGGAAACTGGAAATCTAACGCGAAAGACGCAGAGGCAGGCTAGCGTAAAAACGAGACGAGCCAGCCAGCCAGCCAGCCAGCCACTTTTCACAGTCGCTTTTCACGATGGACAGCGTTTCCCTAAAATGGCACGGCATCGTGGCCGCGCTCGCTTTATGAGCCGAAGGGCCGCCCATTTAATTTCCCATGAGAAATTGCACGTGTCCGCGCAACTTTGCCCTCGTTGCCGTCCCGTCGCGTCCACGTCACACACGACGCGGAACGTCCATTCATTCATTCATAACGCTCTCTTCTCGAACCAGCCACCACCTGACGCCATCCGAAGTGGCCATTTCCGAAATGACCACGCGCCCCCCATACGTCACATCGGTGCCAACCTTAAAGCCGACCGATCCTCCATCCCCTTCCCGCTTCCATTTCGTTTCACGTTCCTTCCATCGATCTCCTTCCTCGTGTCTCGTATTACTCGACGTGGATCTCGTAAAACGAGACCTCCCGTCAAGGATATTTCACGATCCGAGTGTCGCCGGACTATCGACAACTATGACGAATCAATCCGATCTTACCTGTTTCCTATTTAATTCCGTCCATCCCTGATGTAGTTCTACGAAAATTCCGATTTTTAAAACGATGTCGACCAAGGATATCTATATCTAGAATTTTTCCAATTTCATCGATGGACGCTGTAGTTCGAAAATTCCGATTTTTAGGGACGATGACCAAGGATTTAGAAATCTAGAATTTTTCCAATTTCATCGATGGACGCTGTAGTTCGAAAATTCCGATTTTTAGGGACGATGACCAAGGATTTAGAAATCTAGAATTTTTCCAATTTCATCGATGAACACCAATTCTAGGAAAATTCCGATTTTTAGGGACGGAAGATTTAGAAATTTAGAATTTTCCCAATTTCATCGATGGACACTGTAATTGGATAAAAATTCCGATTTTTAAAGATGAAGGATTTAGAAATTTAGAATTTTCTTAATTTCATCGATGGACACTGTAATTGGACAAAAATTCCGATTTTTAAAACGATGTCGACCAAGGATTTGGGACTCTATATCTAGAATTTTTCCAATTTCATCGATGGACGCTGTAGTTCGAAAATTCCGATTTTTAGGGACGATGTTACCCAAGGATTTAGAAATTTAGAATTTTCTTAATTTCATCGATGGACGCTGTAGTTCGAAAATTCCGATTTTTAGGGACGATGTTAACCAAGGATTTAGAAATTTAGAATTTTCCCAATTTCATCGATGGACACTGTAATTGGACAAAAATTCCGATTTTTAAAACGATATCGACGAAGGATTTAGGAATCTATATAGAATTTTTCCAATTTCATCGATGGACGCTGTAATTCTAAGAAAATTCCGATTTTTAAGAATGTCGACGAAGGATTTAGGAATCTATATCTAGACTTTTCCTAATTTCATCGATGAATGCTGTAATTCTAAGAAAATTCCGATTTTTAAGACGATGTATTTTAAGACGAAAGATTTAGGAATCCATATTTAGAATTTTCCCAATTTCATCATGGAAACTGTAATTCAGGAAAATTTCGATTTTTAGAGAATTTTTAGAATGAAGGATTTAAAAATTTACTTTATCGAATCGATGACGTTTCGATTGTCCAACGAGTTACTTGTTCGTAAAGCACCCAACATAACTCGTTGTTCGAGAATTGAAGAAGGTTGTCCGGTGAACGAGTTAGGGACACGGACGACGACTCGAACGAGGCGAATATAATTTCTTTGCCGAGGCGAGTTTCGATCAAATCCGCGGCGAGCGTGTTGCCCGATACCGGTTTGGTTACATTGGCTTCTTTGAAAGTAACCGAGCGTATAAACCCAGGCTTTCGAAGAAGTCGTTGGGAACGAAATCGGTGAGGTAACGATCGCGTATAGGTAGTATAGCGGGGACACGTTTGCGAGAGGCGGGTCACGGTGGACGGAATTGCGACGTGATTGCTCCTTATTAGGGATGAGATGACTGGCCGGGGGAAAACGGCGATTGTCTGGCTGGCGGAGGAGCATCGTCCTCTGCCTCGACGCATATCCAGCCGAGATCCGTGAAACGAATCGTCAATTAGGGCCATCGTAATTTCGAAACTCGTTCTAACGATCATGATCCGACCGAACGAATATTTATCGTTATAGTTTCTCTCCTCCTTTCTTTCTTTCGTTTCGCACTTTCTTTCCAACTTCGTCTCGAAACGTGGAATCGCAGAAATTTGATTATAATTTGACGATCTTCGAAGTTGGTTTTCTTTCTTTCGAATAGAAATGGATCGGATAAAATAAAATTTTCGAGTGAATTTTTCTTTTTTCTTTTTTCTTCTTGTTCGCAGTGGTCACTCGAACGAACGACTGTTTCTCCGAGACTTCGTATCTTGCACGGCTGGCAGCAGCGGAGGTCGTTTGGCAAGATGGTTACAGCCAGACAGTTTCGTAGATCCCTCGAAATGCGAGGCGCTCTACTCGAAGGACGACATGAAGTGCGGATGCCCCGCCATCGTCACTGTACACACCAGAGATCAGTACGGGGATATCGTTCATGTACCTAATTTAAAGGTGATTATACACGATATAATCGTTGATTAATTCGATAATATTATCGTGTTCTAATTTAACCATTCCATTTTCAGGTGGAAGTGAAGGCAGTTCCTATAGAGAAAAAAGACTTGGGAGATTCGGAACGGGTTTCTCAACCCGACCCGTTGACGTTCGGCGGTCATCCTCAGCCACCGTTGGACGTGCCGTACGAGGTGACGATCAACAACAAGACGTGCTTCTACGCGATTACGATCATGAAGGCTTATCAAAACTATTCGTTCGAGGAGTTGAGGTTCATGTCACCGGCTATAAAAAGAACGAGCGAAAGCATGCTGGTTAGGCCGAACGACGATGGAAGCTATAGCGCGGCCTGGACGCCGTCGTCCGTCGGATGGTATTCGCTCGTCATCACTATAGACGGATACGACATGGAAGATGTAAATATTTATCCTTTGATTCCATAGCTCGCCACCTTTTTTTGCTTCAATCACTCGTCGATCTCGATTTCTTTCGCAGAAATACAAGGTTGAGGTGAAGGAATCGCCGCAAGGTATGCAACCGCCTACTCAAAACGTTGTGAAGAAACCGCAACATCAACCGAGCAGGCTTAGAAAATTCGTGGCGAAGAACAGCGCTGGCTTGAGGATAAGGGCGCATCCGTCTCTTCAAAGCGAGCAAATTGGCATCGTTTTGGTTAACGACACCATAGCCTTCATAGACGAGGTGTGTAATCTCGTTCTCACGAAATCTATCTACTCTGTACACCTTCGTCGAGAATGATTATCGTTACTCTTTTCTTTAGATTCACAACGACGACGGCGTTTGGCTACGATTGAACGCTGAAACGATCAAGGAGTATTGCAGCAGCAGCCATCTGGAAGCTTGGTGCTTGCAATACAATCAACATTTGGGGAAAACGTTGCTCCTTCCCGTCGAGGAACCCAAATCGATCTTGGATCAAGTGATCAAGGAGACGATATTACGGAAAAGGCCGGAAATAGTTGACGAGTATGGGAATGCAAAAGCACGATGTTGCGTTTAAACGTGTTATTTCGTAACCCGTGATTGCGTTTATCGTTTCAGTAAAAGGAAGACGGTCACGTTCGACGGTGG